TGTGGATTTTAGAAAGTGCACAGGGACTTCACGTGCGCACTTACCATATCATGGACGGAAGAAAGCACCATGCTCATAAATAACCCTCTACAGTGAGGGGAGCAATGCTTTAAAAGTGTATCAACAGAGACACGCTAGTTGAGTGGAGCCCAAGGCGAGTACTGGAGCCTAAGCCAACTCAGAGAAAGGGAACGAGGCTAACAACGCGTAACCCTTACCATTCAGGATTTTAGAAAGTGCGCAGAGTGCTCAGCGTGCACACTTACCACTATGTGGATTTTAGAAAGTGCACAGAGCATAGCGTGTATGCACTGCAAAAAAGGCTAGCAGACGGATTCACACAACCACCAGCGTATTTTATATATTCAAAATGGATCGTACTCACCCACCATGGTTCCCGCGCAGGAGCCCCGTTCAAGAAGCGAAGCTCGAAGAAGCCTCTAGTCTGGACCATAAGTAAGGTGGTTACTATGTAAGACACAGAACCAACCGAAAACATCATAGGTCCAGCATAGGAGACTGCAATGCAGGCGCAGGAGGTTCCTACCTAACCTCGGTCAGGTGGAGAAGATGGTGGTTACAGGGGAATTAGGAAAGGGAAGATGAGGGCAGATGTTAACCCCCCCGAGGGAGATGAATAGATGTTCAGGCATGACTCTGGTCCGGACGCCTGTCTCTTATCCTCAGACCGAGACGGGCCAGGACCCCTGGGTTGTTCGGGCTCAGACCAGGACCTTCGTGGAATGAAGGTTTTTCGCCTCCCTGAACTTCTCAACCTCCATCTCGACGGAGGTACCAAAAAGTTCGGAAGGCGAAACCGGAGCATCGAGAAGAAAGCCCTTCTCTTTCTTCTGCCAGGTTCACCCACAGATGTCTCTCCGTTACCACCATGGCCGCCGTAGATCTGCCCATAGCAGAGGCGTAGTAGCCTCCCTGCTTAGTAGCACGGAGAGCAAGATCCATGGTGCGGCACAACTCAGCTACCTCATCAGGAGAAAGGCCTTCCCCTTTATCCAGGTCTTTCAGTAGATCAGCCAGATACGCCTGAAGCACCTCCATCATGTGCAACGAAGCGACAGCCTGACCTGCTGCTGCGTATGCCCTGCCATTTAAGCAAGATGTATCCTGAAGGGGCTTAGATGGCAAGGAGGGAGTCTTAAGAGAGGATGTCTCACCCATAGAGAGATAGCTGGCCAGCATCTCTCTATAGGGGTATCTTCTCATAACCGCTTTCGCGCATCTCCTCGATGTTGGCATAACTCGTATGCTGGAATCGATGGATGCGTGAGGAAAAAACGGCCTGCTACCTCATCAGGAGAAAGGCTCTCGCCTTTACCAGGTCTTTCAGCAGGTCAGCCTGATATGCCTGGAGCACCACCATCGTGTGCAATGAAGAGACAGCCTGACCTGCTGCTGCGTATGCCCTGCCATTTAAGCGAGATGTATCCTGAAGGGGCTTAGATGGCAAGGAGGGAGTCCTGAGAGAGGATGTCTCACCCATAAAGAGATAGCTAGCCAGCGTCTCACAGATAACGCTTGGTGAGACGACCTCGTGGCACCACCTTCCTGGCCCGCTTCCACGGCAAGTCAAGCCTCGCCGTGGCATGATCCATAACCTCCAGTAGCTCATCATACTCAGGGCAGGAGGACTGGGAGGGCTCAGCCTCAACTTCTTCACCCTCCTCAGACATCTCCTGCTCTTCCTGGGCCAAACCCAGCAAAGCACTGGCCGCTGGATCAGACAATGTTAGGGAAATCACATCATCATCCTCCAGCGGCTCACCCTCGTCCATGGCCGAAGAGCGCGAGAGGGAAACCCCCTCTTTAAACTCATCGGCCAGATCTGCCTGCGATCCCCACGACCTCATTCTCCTCCGTGCCTCAGCAGCGGCTGGTCCTGAACCGCGGGGAGCAGGCGGCTGCCCCTCCTTCCTCGAAATGTGAGACAGACGAGAGCGGAGCTTTTTCATTGAAAAACGCTCTCAGTAAATTACTGACCCTCATGTCGTTTCAAACCCGTAAGATGAACGAAGGTCTTACGGGTTTGAAACGACATGAGGGTAAGTAATATATAACTCCGACTGGATTCGTCTGAAAGAAGAAAGTCATATACACCTAGGATGCTTCGAGGGTGAGTAAAACGCAGCATAATTTTCATTTTGCGGTGAACTAACCCTTTAAGTAAAATGATCTGCCAGTGTGGTAATAAATTTTTTTTTAATGCAAATTGAAAAAACAAGATTATTCGTGGTGTCTATTACTAAGTGCAAATTTACAGTAGCTCCACCCTCCAATGTCACACAAGGTTAAATACGACGCATATGAATAACGGCTTCAGTGGTGTAGGCAGTAACGCGTTGGGTGTGGAAAACTAGCTTGTGATGTGATTGACCGGGTTCGAGTTCGGCTTTTGCCGAGCTCACTCTTCTCACTTTTCCCATCACATATCACATTAGAATTTATTTTCAATAAAAAATTAAGAAAATGTTCTAAAAGTGGAAGTAGAGTGTCTAACGAGTGTTTAATTGAATTCTTTCTCCACAGAAATTCTGACATTTGCCTCCATATTTTACAGAAAGCCAAGGTTTCCACCACACATACCAACTCTGATTGACCAAGGTCCTCCAAAACTATTCCGTCTACATACAGAGAGAAAATTGCTTGATGAAAATGGAAAAGTCAGAAAATGGACTTATGGGGAAAAAGATGTCAGAAAACAAAACGAAATTGTTCTGCTGTTGGGAGAGACTGGCGTTGGCAAGACTACTCTTGTCAACACGATGGTCAACTACTTACTGGGAGTGAAGTTTGAGGATGAAATATGGTATGAAATTACAGAAGAAACAGCTGGAGATCAAGCAGAATCACAAACCTCTGAAATCACTGTGTATGAGGTCTTTCCTGTAAATAGTCACATGTCTCTCACCATCATTGATACTCCAGGCTACGGAGACACTAGAGGACTGGACAAAGATCTGGAGGTTGCTGAAAATTTAGCTACTCTGTTTCAGAGCAATGATGGAGTTTGTGAAGTCGACGCTGTGTGTTTTGTGATTCAAGCATCTAAGAATCGTCTCTCAGACAGACAGCATTACATTATCAGTTCAGTTCTCTCTTTGTTTGGAAAAGACATTGTGAACAACATTGTGTTTTTAATCACACACTCTGATGGTCTGCCACCCAAAAATGTACTTGATAGCATTAATAAAGCTAAAATCCCCTGCAGACGAGACAAAAGTGGCCAACCTGTTTATTTCTTATTCAACAACCGGCAGGCTGAAGCCCATCAAAATGAGAGACGTTACATTCGTGCTCAAAGAGATGCCTGGAAAGACAGCATGGAAGAGATGAAGCAATTCCTTCAGTCTCTGAATGAAATGAACAGAAAAAATTTAGAGTTGACTTCAGATGTCCTGATGGAGCGCATTCGATTTGAAGCAACTATCTGCAACTTACAGCTGCGAGTTCAAGAAAAAGAGTCAAAGAAGTCTGAAAAACTTCAGATTCAGGAGGCAATAAGAAAAAACAAGGAAAAGATTGAGAGGTGTAAAAACTTCACCATTAATGTCAAAAAGGCTGTCAAAATGAAGGTGCCCATTGAGAGCAAGTCATGGAAGAATAAGAAGGCGACGACCTGCACCGTCTGTGAGGAAAACTGTCATGAGTTTGACTGCTGGTGGGTTTCTGATCCCAGCAAATGTGAAGTCATGAAAAAAGGCTACTGCACCGTGTGCACAGGGAAGTGTCATTACAGCAAACATGTCAGAGAAAACAAGAAATATGTCATTAGCATCCTAAGCACAACGATCGAGTTTGATGATTTTAGAAAGGAATATGAAAAAGCCCAAGAACAAACAAAGACATATTTGTTTTTAATGCAATATCTTGATAAAGATCTGAAGAAGATTGAAAAACAAAAGTCAAATCTTCTGTCCGAAGCTTACCAGACCATCAAGCATCTGTCTCAGATCGCATTAAAACCAGACTCTGCCTTCACTCTTCAGCATCTCGACTTCTTTATCCCCAGAGTGAGGGAGGCTGGGAAAGAAGAATGGGTCCGAGAGCTGGAGGAGATGAGGAGGAAAGCTGTAGCTGATGAAGCCAATAATGATGCTCTGAGTTATCTTAAATGTGGCCTGACAAAACTTTTCTTAGGTAGGCAATGAACAAATGCAGAGAGGACAATGAATGAAACAATAAAAATTAAGACTGATTATAATGCTAAATCAATGCAGGTGAGTATCTGTAGACTTGAAAATAAAAAGAAAACAGATCGCAGTTGATTAAGTTGAAGTTAAGTTTCATGTCTGTTTATAGTGTTTATTTAAAAAAAAAGAAAAAAGGCAAGCCTGGTAACACCTCCAATCTGTTAGTTCATGTACTGTAATAACAAATACATTTTGGGTACTGGATGATAGCTTTACTTAACAGAAAACTTTGCAACCACAAACGGTATTTGGTCACTATTGTGTAATTTCTGATTGAGCCCTTCTATATTTTATGTGCATCATTTTATTTATTTGACGTTTTATGTTATTTTTCTTGAGTTTATCATCATGCCTGTCTCTTAAAAAAATAAATAAAAAATAAAATCTTATTAAATAAAACTAAAGTTGATACAGTAATATTTATAAGACATTGTAAAATCTGCAGTTTTTCATTGTTTTTTTGTTGTATTTCAGCCAAGATTTCAATGACCAAACTGTAACATGCAAAGTGAGCAGGTAGAGGCGAGGATCTAAATGTGAGGAGTATTTAATAGAAAAGCAGCAAAACATACCAAAAACAGCCTTGGTAGCTAAAACAGAGCCATCAGGGGACACGAGGGGTTCAGAAATGGTCTCTGTGGCCACGACCTAGCTGTTAGGGGATGCACAGAGTTCTGCAAGCAGTATCCATGGCAGTTGTAGTGGCGTCAGAAAACATAGAAAGTTCGAAAACGGCGTCTGCTGTCACAAAAGGGGGTTCAAGGGACATAGAAACTTCAGGAAGGGCTTTCCTGGCCAAAACAGAGGCATCAAGGGACACAGAGAGTTCAAAAACAGCGTCCACAGCCACAACAGAGGCAACAGGGAACACAAAGTTCTGAGGAGGAAGCCGCCACTGTCTTGTGAGAAACTGCCGAGGTATGCACAGCCCACACACAAAATGGCCGTAGCCATCACAGGGAGAACAGAAAACAAAATGTTTACCTCCGAAACAGATGGCGATGTGGCCGGCAAAGTAGAGAGCGTAGGGCGGCTATTTGGGAAAAGGGAGCAAAGAATACTCACAGGGTCCCAATTAACTCCCGCTAGATCCCTTTTAGGTCAGTCAATATGTAACATGCAAAGTGAGCAGGCTGAGGCGAGGATCTAAGTGTGAGGAGTATTTAAAAAAAAGCAGCAAAACATACCAAAAACACTGGGAACCAGGGAACACACATAACACATCTCTTTGGCCAAGCATTCAAATAATGCTTAAACGCTTTGCTAGTGCTCGCCATAACGATAGGAATATAGATCGCTCTTACCATGGAAATGCACGCTTCAAACAAACCGGTCAGTGAAGATGAAGAAGAGAATGACGTTCTCCCGGCGCCTATTTATACTATAGTCGCACCGGTAGTGACGTCATGGGCTGTCGCCGGCCAACGTGTTGTTGGGGTTTTTTTTTCAATGTATGCTTCAGACACGGGTCACGAAGAGGCGTTCCCCATAGCGACCGCTAGAGGACGCAGTGTCTCGTTCCCTACTTAGGGAACCATGGTTACATAAGTAACCTGAGACGTTTTTGCTTATGTGTGTTCCCTGGTTCCCAGTGCTTTTGGTATGTTTTGCTGCTTTTATTTAAATACTCCTCACACTTAAATCCTCGCCTCAACCTGCTCACTTTGCATGTTACATATTGACTGACCTAAAAGGGATCTAGCGGGAGTTAACTGGGACCCTGTGAGTATTCTTTGCTCCCTTTTCCGAAATAGCCGCCGCATTGAAGAGTACGTAGAGGAGTTTCTTGCTTATTCTTACCTTGTGCCATTGGAGGATGTCTTTCATATGGACTGTTTTTGGAGCGGGCTGGAAAATAATATCAGCCAATTGATGCCAGGGGAGAACCCAGCTGGACCCTGAAACAGTATGTGGACTTTTCTCTTCTGCTGAGCGGATCCTCCTTCACTGTGGGCGAGGTGGAGGAGGACCCGACGCCTAAATATTTTTTTGGGTGGGGGCTATACGACCCAAGCTCAGGTGTTTCTCATGGTTAATGAGAAACACCTGGGGAACCTAATCACGGGGAACCAATAAACGAACGGATTACAGACTACAAACAAAGCACAGGAAACACTTCAACATAACATATATATATATACATATATATATATATATATATACTGTATATTCCTTTCAAACCACCTATGCAAAAATAACAATTTATTCCTAGAAGTAATAAGACAATTGTTCCATAAAAGCATTTTATGTGGAGAAAAGTTGTGATGGAAACAAATTTCCCAAGCCAATAATACCTGCTGGTGAAATTTAGATAATTTAATAGGTAACTTTCCTGGAAGAAAGTTACATTTCAGAAGAAAAGATAACTCTCCAAGTTTTTGAAAGATACATTGTGGGATAAAGAACCACATAGAATTATAATTTTTTTTAGACCATTTCTTAACCAATTAAGTTTAAAAGTATTGTTAATGTCAAAAAAAATCTATCATCTCTAAGCCACCTTCTACTCTTTTGCCTGATATAATGTCCTTTTTTTAACTGGTAAGGTTTATTTTTCCATATAAAATCTAAGAAGGATGCATTGATATCTTTGGAAATTTCATCACTAACATACAGTACATGGAAAGAGCAGGGTAAACAAATCTAGAAAGGCCTTCAACTTTGGACAGTAATACTCTCCCAAAAATGGTAAGATCCCTTTGTAGCCAATTATTTTTTACATAAAATTCAATTGTGCACATGTAATAGTATTTTTAGAAATATAGATTCACAGATATTTAACAGAGTCTTTTACTGGAATACTTTCAATAGATAAGTCTATAGACTCGTGTATGTATAAAATTTCACATTTATGAAGATTAAGCTTTAGACCAGAAGATTTAGTGAATTTGGTAATACAATCCAGGGCTGTTTTATCTTTCAACAATAATGCAGTGTCATCTGCCAGTTGAGAAATGTTGACTTCTCTATCAAATATTTTTAATCCCAAAATGCTTTGATTGTATACAATTTGAATAGAGAGAAGTTCAGCAACTAATAAAAACAGAAAGGGGGACATCGGACAGCCTCGGCGTACACCGCGATGGATTCCAAATCTTTTAGAGGTTCCCATATTCAGAATAATAGAACTATTAATATCCTTGTAAAACACTTCTATCATATAAATGAAATTATTCCCAGACCCAAAAACTTTCAGAGTGAAGTAAGAAGCCATGTTCAGTTGTATCGAAGGCTTTACAAAAATCTAAAAACAAAATAAGAGCCCCTTACTCTATCAGGTCAGAATAGTCTAAAAGGTCAAAAATAAGACGAATATTGTTACTAATATGTCTATTTTTCATAAAGCCTGTTTGAGATTCATTAATAATTTGATCTAGTCCTGATTTTAATCTTCTAGCATATACTAATGCAATCAATTTGTAATCTGTATTCAAGAGCGTGATAGGTCTCCAGTTATCAATATCCAAGTGATCCGTATCTGGTTTAGGGATCAGGGAGATTAAGCCTTGTTTCATAGTTGTCGCCAATTCCTTCTTTTTAATACAATCATTGAACATTAAGAAAAGTGGCTCTTCTAAAATATACCAGAAATGGTTGGTAAAATTCAATCGAAAGTCCATCAGGTCCTGGACTCTTACCTTTGTTCATATGTCAGAGAGCTAACTGCAATTATTCTCTTTTAAGATCAGAATCACAAATATTTTTAAAGTCATTATTTATCAAAGGAATAAAATGTTGAATATTATCAGTAAATGCTTTGCAGATATCATAATTAAAGTCAGATTGATATAATTTTTCATAAAAAGAGCTAACAAATTCTGATGTTAATTTAGGATCCTCACAAAAGGAGTTATTAATACACAATGCTGACAATGATTTTCTCTTAAAATTCCTTTTTTCAAGGGCAAAAAAATATGCTGTGTTTCTCTCGCCCTTTTCTATCCACTTAGCTCTTAAGCGCACGAAAGCTCCATTAACCTTGTTAGTATACAAGTCATTAAGTTTTGCTTGTAAAGAATGGAGCTCACTATCCTGTATTGGGGAGAGAATCTGAACTTTCCAAAGATTATCAATTTTATCCAACAATTCTGTTTCCATGTGGTCTCTATACTTTTTTATTTCCTTACTTCGTTTAATAGCCAAATGTCTGGATTTAAATTTAAATATCTCCCATTTAGAGACACAATCTGTCATCTCTGAATTAAATATATCGGTGGCTAAAGCTTGAATATTTTTTATGAAAATTCTGTCTTCTAAAAGAGAGTTATTAAATTTCCAGTAGCCACAGAGGCTGTTAGAAGTCTGAACAGTCTGCAAGGACATATCAATTAAGAGATTATCCGTAAAAGGAGCATAATTATGGGAAATGTTTTGAACATGTAATAGATTGGATGAAAAGAGGAATAAATCAATTCTTGATTTTAAAGACTTTGATACGTTACTCCATGTATATTCGTATGCATTGCTATTGAAGTAACGCCATGAATCAACTAAAGATACGTCTTTACATAAGGAATCAATGATATTACAACTTTGAGAGTAGGGACGCATTTTCTGTGGAAATCTATCCATAAAAACATCAGGAACTTCGTTAAAGTTACCAGCAATGATTAACTTGGCATTCGGGGGTTGTTTTCAGCATGTTACATAGTATGACAGAAATATTAGCAAAAAAAGAACTGTTCGCAGTATGAGTGATAAATCCATAAATATTTCAAATTATAAATATAGCATTTTCTGATTTAACAGTTAGTATAACCCATCTACCATCAGGGGAAGTCTTGGAATGAAGAATATCTCATTTAAACTCATGAATCAGGGCCTGTATTCACAGAACATCTTAAGGCTAAAAGTAGCTCATAACTCGCCGATTTAGAAGAAAATCTTAAAAATAATGGGCGTGTCAGTCCTAAATTTAGGACTCCTAAATTTTTGTTGTAAGAGTATTTCACAAAGTGTTTTAGCACTAAAAGTAGCTCCTAAATCTGTGAAACATTAGGAGTAGTGAAGTGGACTCCTAAGTCACCAAGACCAAATCTGAACTATCCTAAAATGGCTGTTGCCAGCAATCTACCTCGGAATATAAACATTTTAGAAACATTTGACGATAATGAGCTTTTAAAAAGGTATCGGCTTTGGTTTGTAGGTTATCCCAACTCCAAATTTTTGATTATATCCTTAATATATAGCTGTTCTCGCATCCAGTTTGGTTTTCTTTTATGTTTGCATGTCTTACTATCAGCCGTGATTATTCTACTCTGCTAATTAAAAGGCAGTTTATACGTACATTACCAAAATTTTATGAGTCGCTTAGTCGCAGAAAAAAAAAATCCACATGAAGTGGCGAAATCACGCAGTCCGTGACGGACAAATCGTTAACGGCTGGTCTATGTGGTAATATAGTACATCGGGCAGGACAGCCATATGCTCTCATACATTCATCGACCTCAAATATGGCTTATCATCTGAAAAATGTATGTAGTAGCAACTTTTCATGGCAGCTCAATCTAATGTTAGCCTAGAAAAAAGTGCGCTGCTCACCTGTTTGCAGCGGCGTAAATTTTGGCTAATAGTTGGGGGGACAATATACATAAAATTTCTCAAGAGCAATTTTTGAAGGGGACACAAATAATACAGCTAAAATTGTACTTGTAAGGATATTTATATACAGAGGGAAAGCCTTACTACTATTAGTGTAGCTGGGAGACCGTGCCAAATTAGACGACTTAAAGCTGTTGTCTCGTGTCCGTTGTAGACATTACTATTTGTCACAGTGTTGCCAAGTCCATGGTTTTCACGTGGAATTGGGCTACTTTATCACTTTTGCCGCGGGTTGTTTTTCATGTCCGCGGGTTGAAGCGACCCCAATAACGTGTATTTTAGTCCATGGAATGCGATTTTTACTGGTGAACCCCCTCGAAACGCAGTTAGTTTGGGATAGTTTTGGGATAGTTTTGAGTAGCAATTGGGCGGGTTTTGTTGTGAAAACCTGGCAACCCTTTCCGTCAAGCAGGTGACGTTATTATTGCTAACATAGCGGACTCATCGAAAAATACATCATAAAGAGAAAATAATCACTTCATCTGATGTTTAAGTGAATAAAATAGACAGCCTTACTTACTGGAGTTCCACAATATTGACTTTGTTCTCTCTCACCGGACTTGTGTGTAGGTGATGTAAAAGAGGAAAGCAGGCATTTGGACCAAAGCACTGTGACGGAAGGGAGGGGGAGACTCAAAATGTTTCTAAATTTAAAACACATTTTTGCCCTTTTTGTGTTGTTTTACTACTTACACAATTATTTAAAGTATAAAACATTGTTATTTACAATACACAGCGTGGTTTTTAATCATATTTTTAGGGGGGACAATCCTCAGATGGGGGGGTCCTGTCCCCCCCGGGATTTCCGCCTATGCGTGTTTGTGCAGAGTGTGGAAGCTGAACAGTAGCGCGCTTGGGCTACTGCATGACAGATGGAGGCGTTGGTGCGATCATTGGCTCTTAAAATACTTCGTCATTTTTGGTCATACAGGTAAGAGCAATGCATCTTTTGTATCTGTAAAGACTCTACGTTTATTCATGTGTACTCAGAATAACAATGAAACGTTGCACTTTTAATGGAAGCAAACAGGATGCGCTTTCTGCCGTCTCGGTCTGCCGTCTCGGACTCTGTGAACTTGAACGCGTCACTTCAAAACTCCGTGTATGCTTGCCTTATTACAGACATGAAAAATATATCTATAGACAGTAAGACTTTTAAAAGAAAAAAATTCAAATAGAAAACAAATATTCTCAGATTTTGTAATCCATATGAAACATGCATACAGGCGCATACTGCGGAGATGATGAGTCAGTGTCGCCGACTTCATCTCTTAAACCGAGAATAGAAAGCACTAGTGTAACAATAAATTATTAAAACGTTAATGCAGTGTACTTGCTGTTTTTCATAATTTTCATAATTATTATATTTGCCGGTGCACTGTGGCAAGCCTTTTTTGCTTGCGCTTGAGCGCTTATTAGGCTATGTAGGCAATTAAGGCTCATTATTATGATTTATATGGCTATTAATAAAAGTGCGACTAATAGTTATGAAGGTATTTTTGGTGCAAAACAACTGAGTGTCCGTGACAGCGGAATTTGTAGTTGTAGAGAATAGCCACACATGTGTATCGGTAAATTTGAAGTCACAGACAAAAGTTGCAAAAAACTCATATGCTCACATGTTTTGCTACTATTGCTGGAGTGAATATGGTGCAAAACACATTCACACACCTGCATCAAAAAATGTGAAGTCACTGACAAATTTTGTACATCCGCAAATCAGTTTGTGAATTCTTGCAATGAGATTTGCACGCTTGTAGAATGTTTTCTTACATATATATTTTTTTTCTTGGATGCTTTTTCTAGCACAAACACAAGTGCATAACTACAACGGCGTGAATCTGCTGCTACGAGTCTGATAGGCGCCCAAATGAGCTCTTCTGATTGGCTGAAATTCTCTGCTCTCTGAACAGTGCCCGCCGTTACCTCTACAGATGCACAAATCACTTTTGCACCATTTTTCACACATATATGTGGTGCAAAAGGGAGAGAGCATGAAACTTGTCATTTGCAAGCGAAAAACAGTGTTTGAGACTCGTAGCAGCAGATTCACGTCGTTATATTTATGCACTTGTGTTTGTGCTAGAAAAAGCATCCAAGAAAAAAAATATATGTAAGAAAACATTCTACAAGCATGCAAATCTCATTGCAAGAATTCACAAACTGATTTGCGGATGTACAAAATTCGTCGGTGACTTTTTTTTTCGGTGACACATTTTTTGATGCAGGTGTGTGAATGTGTTTTGCACCATATTCACTCCAGCAATAGTAGCAAAACATGTGAGCATATGAGTTTTTTGCAACTTTTGTCTGTGACTTCAAATTTACTGATACACATGTGTGGCTATTCTCTACAACTACAAATTCCGCTGTCACGGACACTCAGTTGTTTTGCACCAAAAATACCTTCATAAATAGTCGACTGATGCTTAAAATGAACGACTTCTTTATTTGAATGTGGCAATTAACATTTTTATTTTAAAACCTTTATTTGACTATGGCAACATAATATTGCGCTCTACAATATTTCTATAAATACATCTCTGACAGAGACTATCAGCCAATCACTGTGTGCATATTAGTAAGGATGCTGACATCATCCATTGCAACAAGGTCAACCCCACCCTTACTCTTAGCTTAAGACTTCTGTCAATTCCTTAGTAAAAGTTTGTCTCAGCAGCTTTGTGAATAGGTTTTAAGAGAAACCTCTTAGCTAAAAACTTTTACTGCTATTTAGGAGAACTCTTAATGTTAAGATAAAATGTTTTGTGAATACGGGCCCATAAAAAGAACACCAGCTGAATTATTTGACCCATGACTAAAATAAATCCTATCACCCCATTGAGCTTTCCAGAATTTTGTGTCAGCATCAGAAGAATGTGTCTCTTGTAAAAAAATAAAATCTGCATTATAACGTCTACAAAACAGGAAAATAGCCTTTCTTTTAGTGTTGTCTCTTAATCCCCGCACATTTAAATAAATTATTTTCAGATGATTAAACTGAAATTTGTCCATAAAGTATATGTAAATTAAAGATGAACAAAAAAAATTACAGGAAAAAAGGAAGGAAAAGGAAAACTGTGATCCCAAAGTACACTAAACACTTTTAACTTGGAACTGCTGTAATGCTGTTTTGTACAAGAAGAATTGAATAATCATTGGAATGTGGTTAAAAGTCCTTAAAATAACGGCAACATTTCAAACTAGGCAGACGTGCAGTAAAAGTCGAACCTGGAATGCAGTTGGAAACTCTAGAAGTAATTTCAAGGATACTGTGCTGAATTAGCAGGAATTCTCTTATTGTTAATAACAGCAAAGGCACCGCTGAAACCGGCCTTCTTCCCTTCTTTTCAAGCCGCCTGGACAAGTGGCCAGAGTTTATTCCGACTTTCAATGTCCGCTTTGGAGAGAAATTCTTTGATGTGGAGACCATTCTCTCTGAGGTAAATGGAACTCTTGGCTTCCATCTAAAAGATGTTGCGGTGTCTCCTTGTCACAAAGCGAATGATGATGTGACGCGGCGAACCATCCGGTCGTTGTTTGCCTACACGGTGAACCACATCCACAGCTTCCTCCAGTTTATTCTTGATCTGAGGGACCACCCTGGCAAGATGACTGATAGCTGTCATTCGAATGTTTCTGTCGTCACGTTCTTTCAACCCCGAGTAGTTTCAATCACCATCTGCGGCTATACCTTTCTAGATCTTCCACTCAGAGCTTAAGAGAAGCATTTTCCTGTTGCATGTGCTGTATCGACGATTCGGCCTTACCGATCTTTTCACCGTGAAAGGCGACATCTGGCAGGAGTCGATTAACAGTGTCAGATAAAGAGTTCACAGCAGCCGTTGTGACCTCAATGGAGCTCTCAATGTGAGTAATCTTTTGAATAACCGAATCTTGCTTGGAATTCAGGGACTGGATGGCGTTGAAAATCTCAGCAAGTGATACATCGTTACTGTCTTTTTTCTTTTTCCCAGGGGGACTTTTGCTGGGAGTTGCGAGCAAAGGATCGTTAAAATCCCTTTCATAATCATGTGTGACAAGTGAGGCATCTACACATTCGGATTCATCCATGTTTTGGCCTAATGATTCACTTGACAAGCGCCTGTCCAAGTTCCAAGAGGTAAGCAGGTTCCTATTAACACGTTTCTTGAAAATTAACTATCTGAAGGTGGATTCCAACTCGTATTAACATCAGCAATCAAAAGAATATAACTAAACAAACCACCAAAGGGGCATAATATGACCCGTTGACTAAAATGTATTCCTAAGCTGAAGAGGTACAAAACACACGTCTTCTCAACGAGACGCCATCTTGGCTCCCCCATTTTCTTATAATCTAAAAGCACTTATGTTGGGAATACAAATGTATTATAAACATACTACTTGAATTTCAAGTATATTTTTAATACATTTAATACTACGTCTTTTTCACCTGGGTTGTGTTGCAGTCATTGCGTGATGTGATAATTGGCGTGTGTGTCTTCCCATCCCTTCTCATTAAAAAAAACAAAAAAACATCAACAACGGTTACCACTCACCACTTCAACATGGTAATCTATCAGGGTAAGATATTTATATTTCATTTTATATTAGATGAATTACTGCTGCTTTTATATAATTGGATATTTTTTTTTTAATATTTGAAAATTCAGTAGAGTCGACACTAATGAAACGTAACGAAGCCAGTTGCGATTGAACTATTGTAGCTGAACAGTTATATAAAAACGAAAATGTTGGCAGTTAACCAGCAAACTTTCAGTAGGATGTTTTATTTATACAATCACGGGCAGAAGCTGAAAACAAGTTTCAATGCTCTTGAATGTTTCTGCGTGTAACGCAATCACCCATATATGACTTTCCACTTCAATAAAAAGCTTTTAATGTGAGCGCATACGTCTGCTTCATAATAGATAAAAAATGCTATCTTTGTGGGCAAACGTGTCAGACAGCTATTTGGTCACCGAACGGGGCTTGAGAGAGAGTTGCTAGTGAGGGCGCGGGCACAGCCTCCGTCGTGTTGCCAGATCCAGCTATTATAAGCGTCTTTGTGGGAGAATAAAACGTCTCGGGTTACTTGTGTAACCATGGTTCCCTGAGTAGGGAACGAGACACTGCGTCCTCTAGGTTTTCTCGCCATGCTGCGGACGCAAGCTTCAGACGAAAAAGTGAATGATGTGTGCTCCCGGCGCCTATTTATACTTTAGTCGCACCGGTAGTGACGTCATGGCTGTCGCCGGCCAACGAGTTGGTGTTTTTTCAATGTATGCTTCAGACACGGGTCACGACGAGGCGTTCCCCCATAGCGACCCCTAGAGGACGCAGTTCGAAGTTCCCATGAAAGGGAACGTCTCAGGTTACTTGTGTAACCATGGTTCCCTGAGTAGGGAACGAGACACTGCGTCCTCTAGGTTTTCTCGCCATGCTGCGGACGCAAGCTTCAGACGAAAAAGTGAATGATGTGTGCTCCCGGCGCCTATTTATACTTTAGTCGCACCGGTAGTGACGTCATGGCTGTCGCCGGCCAACGAGTTGGTGTTTTTTCAATGTATGCTTCAGACACGGGTCACGACGAGGCGTTCCCCCATAGCGACCCCTAGAGGACGCAGTTCGAAGTTCCCATGAAAGGGAACGTCTCAGGTTACTTGTGTAACCATGGTTCCCTGAGTAGGGAACGAGACACTGCGTCCTCTAGGTTTTCTCGCCATGCTGCGGACGCAAGCTTCAGACGAAAAAGTGAATGATGTGTGCTCCCGGCGCCTATTTATACTTTAGTCGCACCGGTAGTGACGTCATGGCTGTCGCCGGCCAACGAGTTGGTGTTTTTTCAATGTATGCTTCAGACACGGGTCACGACGAGGCGTTCCCCCATAGCGACCCCTAGAGGACGCAGTTCGAAGTTCCCATGAAAGGGAACGTCTCAGGTTACTTGTGTAACCATGGTTCCCTGAGTAGGGAACGAGACACTGCGTCCTCTAGGTTTTCTCGCCATGCTGCGGACGCAAGCTTCAGACGAAAAAGTGAATGATGTGTGCTCCCGGCGCCTATTTATACTTTAGTCGCACCGGTAGTGACGTCATGGCTGTCGCCGGCCAACGAGTTGGTGTTTTTTCAATGTATGCTTCAGACACGGGTCACGACGAGGCGTTCCCCCATAGCGACCCCTAGAGGACGCAGTTCGAAGTTCCCATGAAAGGGAACGTCTCAGGTTACTTGTGTAACCATGGTTCCCTGAGTAGGGAACGAGACACTGCGTCCTCTAGGTTTTCTCGCCATGCTGCGGACGCAAGCTTCAGACGAAAAAGTGAATGATGTGTGCTCCCGGCGCCTATTTATACTTTAGTCGCACCGGTAGTGACGTCATGGCTGTCGCCGGCCAACGAGTTGGTGTTTTTTCAATGTATGCTTCAGACACGGGTCACGACGAGGCGTTCCCCCATAGCGACCCCTAGAGGACGCAGTTCGAAGTTCCCATGAAAGGGAACGTCTCAGGTTACTTGTGTAACCATGGTTCCCTGAGTAGGGAACGAGACACTGCGTCCTCTAGGTTTTCTCGCCATGCTGCGGACGCAAGCTTCAGACGAAAAAGTGAATGATGTGTGCTCCCGGCGCCTATTTATACTTTAGTCGCACCGGTAGTGACGTCATGGCTGTCGCCGGCCAACGAGTTGGTGTTTTTTCAATGTATGCTTCAGACACGGGTCACGACGAGGCGTTCCCCCATAGCGACCCCTAGAGGACGCAGTTCGAAGTTCCCATGAAAGGGAACGTCTCAGGTTACTTGTGTAACCATGGTTCCCTGAGTAGGGAACGAGACACTGCGTCCTCTAGGTTTTCTCGCCATGCTGCGGACGCAAGCTTCAGACGAAAAAGTGAATGATGTGTGCTCCCGGCGCCTATTTATACTTTAGTCGCACCGGTAGTGACGTCATGGCTGTCGCCGGCCAACGAGTTGGTGTTTTTTCAATGTATGCTTCAGACACGGGTCACGACGAGGCGTTCCCCCATAGCGACCCCTAGAGGACGCAGTTCGAAGTTCCCATGAAAGGGAACGTCTCAGGTTACTTGTGTAACCATGGTTCCCTGAGTAGGGAACGAGACACTGCGTCCTCTAGGTTTTCTCGCCATGCTGCGGACGCAAGCTTCAGACGAAAAAGTGAATGATGTGTGCTCCCGGCGCCTATTTATACTTTAGTCGCACCGGTAGTGACGTCATGGCTGTCGCCGGCCAACGAGTTGGTGTTTTTTCAATGTATGCTTCAGACACGGGTCACGACGAGGCGTTCCCCCATAGCGACCCCTAGAGGACGCAGTTCGAAGTTCCCATGAAAGGGAACTAATTGGTTACAGAATGAAATATGCAGACACTGGTCATGAAGAATGCTATGCTATTTTATTCAGTTTGGTAGTTAACCTTTTACAAAAACCATGCTAAAAACATTCATAAAAGCAGCAGACAAAGTTCTTATTATTATCCATACAGCAATGCTTATTAATGAAAGCTATTACAGAAATAAGCATTGTTGCATGAATAATAAATAATACATTTATCCACACGGTATACCTATGATGAAAATTACAGGCCTCTCTCATCTTTTTAAGTGGGAGAACTTGCACAATTGGTGGCTGACTAAATACTTTTTTTCCCCACTGTATATATATATATGTATATATATATGTGTGTCTAATTTATCAATGTCCATCCCTCCAAAACAGACAGCACAGAGAGTGTAATGAGTTGCATTTTAGGTGTTATTAGGTTTTAGGTGTTACCAAACATCTCCCCATGCAATGGCATGGCACCATGATGGATTTATTGTGAAGATGAAAGCCCACAAGAGTGTGGTAAGTTAACTTTAATTTTCTTTTTGATCTCTTTCTACGCTTTATTCTGATGATGTTTGCATGATATAAAGCTATATTATTTTTTTTTTATATATATATATATATATAAGAATATGTGAGCGAACGCTTAGTTTCAGAGTCAAGCTGTGCTAACTGGCCTTTTCCTCTAGCAATGCGGCTGTTAAATTGGTCAGTATACGTTAAAATACATGTATACAGTTTTCTTCATCATCTTTTGTGTTATTGTAATTTTAC